GCTACACGTGGCCCGCCGAGAGGACCTGGGATTCAGAGGAAGAGAGAGAGCCAAACTTTTTCCAAAGTTAACCTATTTTAGAAAAATTTCTTCCTTAACAAAGCGTAAACATGTCTTGTCGGTATTAATGGTGTTGTGCGGTTTCGCCGCGTGTTATACCCCACAGGTGGTTTCCTCCAGATTCCCCTGGGTGAAGGTGGGATTGGTGCACAAGAAGATCAATCTTGTAGAGTCGACGGTGGCCTGGGAGCACGAGCGCTACAGCCTGCGCAGGATTCAGGCCTTCACGCTGTCTCATGTGGAAGATCCCAAGTCTGAACTTCGCGGGTCTGTGCTGGATACAATGTATGTTTGACATCATTTTTGTCTTATTTGGTTGGTCAGAGAATACGTAGATTAAAAAAAAATACATATTTTGCTTCTAATTTTTTTATATTATATAATTGTGTGTGTGTAAAATAAAGATAAGATAACACATAAATAAGCATCGAAATATAATTCTATCTTCTGCATATCATCTTCTAGGTCCCAAGTAGATTTTAGGAAACTTAAACGAAACGGCATTATCATAGCTGAAGCTCTGGCCCGGTACATGTACAATCTCTCAGACAAGGTGAATAAAGTCAGTCCATTTTGATTATGTATATGTAAAACAACAAACAATCATATCTATACTTTAATTTGTTGTAAAAGCACATTGATCTGTGACTATTTTTGTTTTAAGGGTTCACCAAGGGATATTCAAGTTTTTAAGGGTCAGCTGGTGAGTTCCTTGTTCTCTTGCGCCATGTGCTGCCCTCTTGTGTTCATGCATAGACATTACAGCGTGCTTGAATTTTTCCAAAAGCAGATCTGCAGTATCAATAAAATGCCATGTCGTTTTCAATTATTTGTCGCCACTAAAGTGCAAATAGAAAAGTTTTATCAAGAAGCAGCTTTATAAAAAGAAAGATGAAAAACGTCTCCAAAGTGACCCTGACATAAATGTATTAGCTTTTTAAAAAAAAAAAAAAAAATCTTTTCAGACTTCAATGACGTTAGACATTATCACGATACTGCCATTGTGAACTCACATATTTGTCCTCAATACAGGACTTTCAGGACAGCCACATGTCCAGTTTGATGTCCTTTTTGACCTCTGTGCCCCGGTCCGCCCAGCTGCTGGACAAGGAGCCCGGTCAGATCCTACTGGTCAACTCACTGGAGCACGAGTTCAAGCACCACCTGCAGCAGGTCCATAGACACACCTTTCGACAGGACAAGAGGTGAAACGTGCAGCAGCTTTTTCATTCAGTGACTCAAAAGTAACACAGCAACCTCATGATTAACATTACCTTTTTATGCAGGGACCCTGAGATCACCTTTTTTGATCAAATGAACCAATCAGTTGTCATGTACAGGTAAACTTACCAGCAACCTTAGAATGTCCTGGGACTCGACAAAAAAAGCAGAACATAAATTCAAGCCTTAAAACTTGATATTTGTCTGTGCCAAAGTGACTTTGGTGTGTGTGTGGAAAGTGGTTAAAGGCTCAGAAACTAATGCAAACCTTTTTCAGGGTGAAGCCAGCAGCGTTTGATCTCTTCCTAGGAGGATGCATCACTGCATATTTGGGGATTGTTTACTATTCAATACAGGTGAGTTGATATACATTTCACAAAGTGTTTCTACATACACAACAGAAATTGCATTCCTTCCATCATCCAAGTGTACTTAGGTGACGTCTGGTTGGTTTCATGTTTTTTTTAAAGGTGTCAAAGAAATGAGAGCTGAATACTCACTTTTCAGATTTTTTCATTTTTTATCCAGTTCACAACCATGTGGTTCTGTTGGTCTATCAGAGTGTTGCAATGTGACAAAATGTAAAAAAAAAATAAAAAAAAAATAAAAAGGTTTTCAATGTTTTTGCTCGATGTTGTTTAGCACCTAGCCATTCAGGAGGATTAAAATAATTTCGATGCGTAACGTTTTCCACCTGTTTTCTCCTGCAGAATTTCGGGCATCTGTACGCTAGACTCAAAGCTGCGGTGAAAGCCAAGCATCAATGACAGCTTCAAGGATCCAGGCTTCATGGCTTCCTGAGCTCATGACAGACGTCTGCTTCACAGAACATTAAAGCAATCCAGCATTAAGTTTCCCACAGTAAGACAGGAAGTGTGCATTTGCTTTGCGCTCTGTCAGATGTTCAAAGACGTGTACGTTCCTTAGAAAGGGCTTTCTAGAGAGTCGTAAAAAGTACGCAAATCAAGAAATAAAAGTGTTCTGTCGTCAGTCCTGCCGACGGCGTGAATAACTGGGATCTGATGTCCAATCGATGAAATGCATTTTCTCTCACATTACTATGATCGCTCGACATGACGTGTGTGTGTGTGTGTGTGTGTGTGAGTGTGTGTGTGTGTGTGTGTGTGTGTGTGTGGGTGAGCTTCAACGCAGCTTCCAGGCGAGGTTCAACCACTGCAATGGACGCTCAGCCAGTTCCTGTCACAGATAACTCAGTGAGATTGCCACAGACACAATGGCCCCCGCAGTGCTCCACAAATTATTAATGCTAGTGTGACGTGCTGACAGTCATTGATTGTGATAGAGTCTATGAATTCTGCAGGGGTTTTTCCCCCCTTCTTTTTAGTTCTGCAGCTCTGTTCAGACTGTTGAAACTTAAAAGCAGCTGAACGGCTGTCGGTGTACGAAGTGAAGCGAGGGCTGTGTTGTTGATCGGGGCCCTCGGAGCTATGGAAGCAGGTCAAGGGCATTGACCCCAGGTATGTGAGTCTCTGCAGGGGGCTTAAAGCTCAGGGAGATTAGTGAGTGCTCAGGTGGCACACAGAGAGTTGTTCTGCTTCAGCAGGGATGATCTTAACCTGTCCAAAACGGACGAGATTCTTCACAACAGCAACAGGCTAAACCAGTAGTTTGATCTGAAAAAGAGAGGATTGACGCATGGTGTAATGATGCAAAATTTAAAATAAACAGGTGTTGTGGCACCTTAGATTCAGAGTAAGTGACACACGGCAGTGGAAAAAAGATCCAATGCATACTGCTACAACAATTATGTAATCTTCCCCGGAAGTAAAAATAGAGTATAGAAGCAGAGGAGGCGGGAGGCGGGTGGTGATGGGGGCAGATATAGGTAAGGGGCGGAGCTTCCAGGATCCTGCATGACTTTCAGGCAAACTGGAGGTAAGGTGTGCATAAACAGTGAGACGGTTTCTGAAGATGGGTCCCCAGCTCTACCTTACAATGTACAAGGAGCATTTCAGATCTCCGGGCAGAGCAAAAAAAGCTGAACTTCGACCCACCTCAGCCCACCGCAGGAACAACCCTCAGCCACGGCCGGTAAGATGGACAGCCCTCCGATTTTGCATGTATGAGCTTTATTTTTTGTGGTCATGCAATGATTTGTTGACTCTGACAGGAATAGAAAGCTATTCCTGATATGATTTCTGTTTATTTTGAAGAAATAAACAGAAGGCAAAATCGACTCTGTGGAACATTATGTACTTACAATATGTTATGTGACTGAAAATAAAAGAAATAGAGGAGTACAGATCATGCAAAGAAGGACTTTTGTGTTCCCCCAACACTTCTTATTCCATAAATATTTGGGAATAAGAATATGACAGATGTCTAAAAGTGCTTTAAGAACTTTTTTTTTCTTTTATGACACGACAAATTGAGCTGTAAACATCAAATCAGTCATAATGCTGACTGATTTGCATGCATGTTGTTCATACAGAGAAACAAAATACAGTTTATTTGTATATATATATATATATATATATATATATATATATATATATATATATATATATATATATATATATATAAACATTATTATTCAAACGGGAAACTGAACTGTTCCCGTTTTGTCGCATGGACATCTAAAGACGGGTCATTTTCTCTTCAGTGAGTAACATTTTTAAAAAAACTTTCCTAATGAACCTTAATTGGATTTCTGTCTGGACTCTGTCTGGGTTGTTTGGACACAAGGATTTGTTCTGGCCGTCTGTTTACGGTCATTGTCCTTGCAGGAAGGTGAACCAGCATCAAATCTTTTGCAGCTTCCAACAGGTTTCCTCCCTGGATGATCCTGTTGTCAGGTGCTCTGTCAAGTCTAACCAGCTTCCACGTCCTTTCTGAAGAAAATCATCCCCGCAACATGATGCTGCCACCACCATGTTTTGATGTGGAGACTGAGATATGTATTAGCAGCAGCAGCAGTAGTAGTAGTAATTTTATGCCACAAACAAGATTTATTTATAGGCCAAAAGGTTTACACTGGACTCTTGGTGTATTTTTTTCTAGTAATGTCTTTCTTCTTGCCTTCCGTAAAAGTCAGATTTGTGTCGTGCACAACGAATAGTCGTCCTTTCAGCGGATTCTGCTAGCTGAGTTCTTGACCTTTGTGGCTCCTCCAGAGCTAAAGTGACCTCTTGGTTGCTTCTATGATTAATGCTCTCCTTTTAGAAAAAAAAAAAAAATCCCAATAAAATTCAAAGAAGTTTTGTGCTTGTGATATGACAAAATGCCTCGAGTCCAACGTCAATCAATATTTTTTGCAAGGTGTATAAAAACTGAATACCAGTGTCCAAACAAAGTTTGTGTTAAAATGAGAGTTTCCTAACTTTTCCTTCTTTAGATTTCTGTTTCCAATCTCCATTTCCTCGACTCCCCAGGACTTCCTGTTTCCCCGCAGTCTTCGGCCAAGCTACAGACCACCGTGCGCTCTGCTCCACCCTTCGCCCCCCGTGGACACCGGCCGGCCCCTTCTCCCCCCTGTGAACCATTTCTCAGCTCACAGTCCGGTCTCGGCCTTCCCTGAAAACCCTTTAGGCAAAACAAATTCAGACAACCCACATCACATGCCTCCTATCCAGGCCCACAAGCTCCAGCTGATAGAGACTCCTGCTGCGAGTGACGGTCAGGTTCCCACCACTCTGAGGAGCCCTAATAAGTAATTATTAAACAGCTCCCCGTTTCGCTTAAAGGTAACTGTAAACACATTCTGACACTGATGGATCTGCTCTGCAGGACAGCAGATTATCAGAGGAATGTCAATCCACTCTCAGCACGACAACTCAGGCAAGTAAACAACCTTTGAACTGAAGTGATGCCGTTTAAGACACACAGTCCCCTTTGCATGTTTGTACTTTTTCGCCACAGTGGATTTTGTGTCGTAGTCGACCAACACAGAGCAGAGTATAACTGCGAAGTGAAAATACATTTTGTTACAAATAAAAATCTTAACTAAGTCATGATAACTCTGGCTGTTTGTTCACTACAGTGGTCTCTGAGGTCTTCACATAATGTGATTCAATTACACAATTAGAGTCCTGTGACTTCTGTGGACAATTCATTGCACTGGATTTTTGTAAAAAATGTAAATACAAACACACACCACACTGCTCGTATTGTTGTGCGCCAAAATTTAGAGAAAATCATGTTCAGTTTCCCTTCCACTTTGCAAGTGTCAACTATTTTGTGTTGTACGATAAAAACAAGCACAAATGCAATAAACAATGACGTTTTTCTTGTAGCAGATCAAGTAGCATACATTCTTTTGCAAAGTAATATGTCAGTGTATTTTAAAAAAAAATGACAGTAAGATCTCTGCCTTACAACAGACCACAAGCCGGAATTCAGTTTCAAACGAGACCACAAACGAGCAACTCTCCTGCAGCTGCAGCAGCTCCTCTCTGCTCTGTGCGGACGCCTTACAGGAAATGTTGCTCTACCAGATCTCAGGATTTTAGGTGCACATTCTCTTGCATGTATCATATTTATTTATTTATTTATTTTTTTTTGGAGGAGAGGACGACTTTAATATTGTTCCTGAAGTCTGACTCTGATCCTGTGCTTTGCCAACAGCGACTGCTACAGCTGCTTCCATGTAGTGAGGCCCTACCAGGCTGCTCACTACGTCATACACCCAGAGTTTGTCTCTGAAAGCCTTTATTAGGAACACCAGAGGTTGCCCTCTTCCAAGCTGGGGAGATTCAGAACGAGAGTCTGCTCAGCTACTTTCCTATCCTCTGCTAATTAACCAGGCCACTCCTGGCAGAGCAGCATGCGGGCTTTTAAATTTCCTTTTTAAATAAACGGCAATGTCCCTCCAAGGGTGGCTCGTCACGATCAAGTTGGATGAAGAGCAGTCACTCTCTTGTGCTTCCAGTGCATCTGAATGCTATATTGTATTCATACTTTTTCCACATTTGTGAAAAATTTCTTCCAATATTTGTACAGCGGAGGAAATAATTTTTAGAAATGTTCAAATTTTGATTTTTTTAGTGAATACATTTTTTAATGGGACTATTGGCATAAAATTTCTCTACACATACAAAGACATCGAGGCAGTCGAGCTCATAATCGAAGTTGTTGGTAATAATATGAAATAAAACAGGGATTCAGTATTAAACACTTAAAAAAAACTGAGGTGAAAAAAGACGTACAAAGTTAAGATAACTCTTTTATCTACAGGTGAAGCATGGCACAGCTGCCATTCCAAGTCTTAAATAAATGTCAGTCTGCTTTTTTGTGGGAGGCATTTGTTCAATCCAATCCAATCCAGCTTGAATGAATCTTGAAATATATTGAAATATAGATATTGACATTAAGAAAAACAACAACCTTTTCTTACATTGTTCATTCAGCAGGTTAGTAAAGTATCAAAGTTTTTCTAAGTTTAAATATTTCTGATGCGACCAGTTACGTAAAATTAACAGCAAGTGTTAAAATCTGAATTTCATGACATTAACAAGCTCAATGTTTATTTCACACTTTGTACATAGAAAACTGTGAATTCTTTGTGGTCATTAAACTATTGTGTGTTGCTAAATTTAAAGCATTTCTGTAAGCGGCGCAGAATGAAATAAAGGACACGTTTTTTCTCCACCTGGACTACATTTCCCTTGTCAGTGTGGGCGTAGATGAAGGCGGGGTCAACCCAGCGCGTTTGGGTTCCTCTCTGGCTTTTTTTTTTTTTTTTTTTTTGCTGTGGATTGTAGCAAACAGACTCCAAACCGCTGAGGAGATCGCTGCAGATCGGTAGGGGGAAAACAAAACAAAACAAACAAACAAAAAAAACTTTTTTTTTCCGAACGAACGGTAACAAAAATCTGAATTTTATTGAGAGATACGAACATTTTGCACTGATTCTGTGTTGTTTTTCTTTACTTAACTTTCTCACAACGCCCATAAAGTCGAAATATATATATATATAAAAAACGGGTCGTTCTCCCCACATTGGCTTCTAAAATAAATAGTTTATGTTGTTAATCTGTAACTCATGTTTTGGTCTTTTAAGAGGCATTTTCTTAATCAGTGTGTTGTTGTTACCCGTAAACATAATTATATGTGGGGAGGGAGGGAAAAAGCCACATCACAAGTGAAGACCGTTGTTTTATTTCTTGCTTGCTTAAACTGTGCATTAAGTCTGTAATACTCAGCTCTGCATGTTCATGTTCAGTGCTATTGACGGCGTCCATAATTAGCATGCGGGGACACGCTGAGAACACCGAGCCCTCAGCTCTGTCTCTCTCTCTCTCTCTGGCACAAACACTTGAAGAAGTGTGACTGGAGCAGCTGCACCGACTAGATCAGCACTTCTTTATGTTTCCCCTCCATGTCTGATAATGAATCAGCTGAAATGACAGATAAAAGCTCACTGTAAACAAACGAATGAGGCTGAAAGGAACTGTGTGGGAAAGCGCTTCTCTACAGTACAGTAAAAATCATCCGAGTAAAAGATTTTTGGATTGCTCATTTTTATTGGTGCTTGGTTAGCTTATGTATAAATGAGGTTATTGTTTTTTGTTTTTTTTTTAATAGTTCTGCTTCATAGAATTTATTTAAATTAGCCGATAAAATGGCCTATTTCTTAAATATTAACAGAAGATGTATGACTTCCAATGATGGTTAAGTTTCAAGAAGTTTTCTAATTAACCCTGTCTGGGTCATCATGTGTTTTTTTCTCCAGTATAGCCTTTATTTTTCACTTAAAGCTGGAAAGGATTCGGTTCGAGAATGTTTTTGTTTTCATCTTGTGCTTGTGTTGAACTCTAAAGTCCACAGTTCTTTGGAAGCTAAGGAAAAACTTGTTATTGTCAGACTGAATTCAAACTCGGGGTCTCCAGCTCCAGTCCTCACCACTTCATGAAGTTCTGCAGAGACCAGGCAGCGAGTAATTATTTTCCGCACTATAAGGCGCACCTTAAAACCTTCAATTTCCTCAAAAGCCAACAGTGCGCCTTATAATCCGGTGCGCCTTACATATGGACCAATATTGAGCCACAACAGGTCTAGCAACTACTGTAAGCAGCCGCTGACTTCATTTTCGCCCGTAGAAGAAGAAGCGCGCGGAGCATGCTGGGATAATTGTCAGAACGCTGGTTTGTTAATAAAGTTTGACTGACCTAGCTCCCTCGTCTGCAGGTCATTTAGCACCACGTTCTCCACCAACATGCTGTGCGCGAACGGAGAAGGGTGACCACCGTCCGGCCACGCCCCGGCCTAATCGCGGAAGGCTCTCCTCACTGACCGGAGTCCGACTGTTTTGTTGACATTTTCTATGTCAACAAAGTGACTTTAGACATTCATCCTTTAGTGCAGCTCCATCTAGTGGATACATAACGTAACTCCAGCCTCTACTGTAGCGTCTATTCCATGCACCTTATGATCCAGGCGTTTGAGAAGGGGCGCATCTAAAGGCTTCGTTTGGATTGTCTGTGATAGGCTGACACATAGCAGTGTGCATAATTGTAAAGTGGAAGGAAAGTTATACTATTTGCAGATTAAAATCAAGAAAGTATGTTTTATCTTGCATTTTTCGAATCGGGATTTCTAACAGGTTTTCCTCTAGGTGTGACCTTTATTTATCTCCGTCTGTTTCTCCTTCGTCGTCCCTGCTGAAGAGAAGTGTCGCCTCAGCATCTTCCTGTAGCCGCCGCTGCCGTGTTTGAGTGTCTGCAACACCTCCTGAGTTTACGTGGGCCTCTTTGCTGCTTCTTTTAAAACCTCCTTGATTTGCCGTTTTCAAAACACAAATTGCTTCCCTCTCACTTTAGTTATGCACTAAACTATGCGTGGGTCATAAAATTCCAATAAATCTCTCATGAGTTTTTCAGTTTCACTGTATTCCCCGCACTTTTTTTTTTATGTTCTGCTGGCAGTACAGAACATTCAGTCAGAGAGAACTTAACCACCTTCATTCCTCCGTTTTTTCATATTCAGCCTGTCCTGATTAACTGCGTGTCAAACCAAGTTACTCAATAGATGTTGCTGTTTGATTTTCTTTGAGGAACAGTAACATTTGCATAAAACGGGTAATGTAGCTTTTTATTGTTCTCTTAAGCGTCAGCCTGTGTTGACACATTTGACTTGCAGCAATCCAGGTTGTGTCCAGTTTGCCTAATCAGGAGTGATACAGCACAGCGTTCAGTATTCCTATCTTGCCTCGTTGGCCTTTGCAGGGCTTTAAGGCTAAAATCCCTCTTTTCTGCTTCTTTACACTTCATTCCATACAAATGAGTTGTTGTCAATTGAACCCATGTGTTAGAATTACTTCCAGCAACATCCACTTTGTCTCTTTAGGGCAAATTTGACAAAGATTTGTTTTCTTAAATCTCATATACATCGTTAAAGTTTACAACTGGACAGCCTAATACCTTCAAGACCTGTGAAATCACTTTGTTCAGCAATGCAGAGGATGTTACAAGCCATAGCTTGAAGTGCATTGAGTTGGTATTAAAAGAAAAATGTAGAGCATGTTTGTTTTGTGTGTGTGTGTGTGTGTGTGTGTGTGTGTGTGTGTGTGTGTGCGCTTCACATTTTTCCTAGAATTTTCAGATGGTTGAGTGTTTTTTTTTTTTTTAAACCCTCTGTTATCTTGTTTCCCCGACAAACTGCAAACAGACGTGACGACGTGCCTAAAGTCCAATCGGAGGCTCAACATTTTTGATGATCTGCACAACATCACCTCAGGGATTTGGCCTCTGAAAAACACAAGCCATGTACCAAGTGGTGCCCGGCGGTGCCGGGGGCACGATTACAGATGTTATCCCCAAGAAGAAGCACACCAAGGATTCTCGACCCTTGGTTGGAACTGGAGTCATCGGCCTGTTTCTGGTCATCGCAGCCGTGACTGCCTGGTGTTACTACATAGCCTCCCTGCGCAAAGCTGAGCTTCTGAAGACTCAGCTGCTGGACCTCAATAAGGACGGCTACATTATCCGCAACCAGGGAGGGTCCATTGTCTTCAGAATGAATTTCAGGTTGGTAATTTTTTAAAAATGTGTCTTTGTGTATATAGGTTGTACCTCATTAAGTTAGAATATTATCTGAAAATCTATTTTATTATATTCAAAAAGCTAAAAAAAAAAAAAGCTAAAAAGCTAAGCTTATAAATGATCCTCACCTTTGCCCAAAATGTTAAAATAAAAATGCTTCCTTTTTCTTATGAAATGATTGAGAAACTTATCTTTTCCTGACATAGTATAGATAATCTCAAAATTGTACTGATTGATCTGTTCCAAACATATACGGAAGATGAAACGGTAGTAAAAAGAGATATTATGGCTTACAACTAAAGAGAATAATTGACCCAGTTCCCCAGTAAAGTCTAATATCACAAAAGACCAACATAAGACCATTTAATACACAGATGTTATATTATGACCCACACAACCTTGGGAGAGGTTGATAACTTGTCTGTACTCAAGCAGACATTCACTGACGCCCTGTGTGAGGGTGGGGGGTTTAGTGTTTTTGATGACTATCTTAGTGCTACTAAAAATCCCAAACTCACAAATCAGATTAACAATGAAAACGACTTTAACACTGAATAGCCAGAAATGCATTTCCATGCACTGTACAAGAAATGACGAGAGTACTTGGGTGAACTGAATGTTGTGTTTTCAGTGCTTGAAAGACAAGTATAACAATTTGAAATTAATTACCAACAGAAGTAAACTTTAATAATCTTCCTATTTATTGCAAAATCATTAGTGTTTTTGTTATCAACAAAAGACTGAAATTCAAATGACTTTTTAATCTTGGCAGATCAGGGACCCTGGACTTGGACTCCTGCTCCAAGGAGGAGGAAATTCTTCGTTGTAGTCGGACCACTGACAGGAAGCTTAAGTTTTTCATAAAGACAGTGCAGCCCAAGGACACTGTGCAGTGCTACCGTGTCCGCTGGGAAGAACTGGTTCCCAACATTCCTGTTGAGCATGCCATGACTTACAAGTTTGCGCACTGGTATGGGGGAGCAGTGTCAGCAGTTCAGCACTGGCCTATTTCTATTTCAGGCCAACAGGCTCCCAAACCGTTTGTCACGAGCGACATCTACTCAAACCGGGAAGAATTTGGAGGAATCTTGGAAAGTTACTGGCTGTCATCCAATGCCACGGCCATCAAGATCAACAACTCTGTGCCTTTTCACCTTGGCTGGAATGACACGGAAAAAACTATGTACTTCCAAGCAAGGTATCATGATTCCCCTTTCAAGCCAAACCCGGGTGAGGCTCCTTGTGCTGAACTGAGCTACAGAGTCTGCGTAGGTCTGGATGTGACATCCATACACAAGTACATGGTTCGGAGATACTTCAACAAACCGTACAAAGTGCCTGCCAAAGTCATGTTTGAGCATCCTATTTGGTCGACTTGGGCTATATATAAGCGTGACATTGATCAGGAAAAACTTTTGACGTACGCTGCCAACATTCGCAAGTACAATTTTAACTGTAGTCATCTGGAGCTCGACGACCGCTACACAAAACGTTACGGAGATTTCGAGTTTGACCCAGTCAAGTTCCCTAATGCGTCTGAAATGTTCCAAAAGTTAAAATCGGATGGATTTCTGGTGTCTCTATGGATCCATCCTTTTGTTAACTATAACTCTGAAAACTTTCATCCTCTGGTAGAGCGAGGGCTGTTTGTCCGAGAGCCAACAGGACGGCTGCCTGCGTTGGTTCATTGGTGGAATGGCATTGGCGGTATTTTGGACTTCACCAATCCAGAGGCCCGGGAATGGTTTTCCTCCCAGCTACGTTCACTGCGTTCAAAGTACGGGGTGTCGTCTTTTAAATTTGATGCAGGGGAGACGAACTACTTACCTTGGAAATTTAGCACAAAGAATCATATTCGCGACCCCAGTTTTTTCACAAGGCGCTACACAGAGATGGCTATTCACTACAATGATCGAGCTGAACTGCGCAGTGGTTACCAGTCCCAGAACATATCCTGCTTCTTCAGACCGACTGACAGAGATTCTGTGTGGGGTTATGAGCTGGGCCTCAAATCTCTCATCCCCACAGTGCTGACCATCAGCATCCTTGGGTATCAGTTCATCCTGCCAGACATGATTGGGGGCAACGCCTACGTGAACTACACAAGCGGAGATCGGGCACTACCTGATCGAGAGCTGTACATCCGCTGGCTGGAGCTGTCTGCCTTCATGCCTTCTATGCAGTTTTCTATACCTCCGTGGGAATACGATAACGAGGTGGTGGAAATTGCTCGAAAGTACACAGCCATTCACGAAAGCATTGTGGCGCCGCGGGTCCTCGAGCTGGCAGGGGAGGTTTTGGACACCGGGGACCCGATCATACGGCCACTGTGGTGGATTGCCACTGGGGATGAGAGGGCCTATAAAATTGATTCCCAGTTCCTGATCGGGGACGACCTAATGGTAGCTCCAGTTTTAGAGCCTGGAAAGCAAGAACGAGACATATATCTACCCGCTGGGCACTGGAGAAGCTACAAGGGGGAAAGATTTGACCTCAAGGAGCCGCTGCACCTCACAGATTATCCGGTAGACCTGGATGAAATCGCCTACTTTCTTTGGGTTTAGCGAGAAAGAAAGTGAAAGACTTGATCATCTCATGCTCCCATTTCCCTCCTTTTGTGCCTTTCAAAGAGATTCAAACACCTTGAACTTTTTTCATATTTTGTCACTACAAGCATAAAAGTCAACGTATTTTCATGAATTTTTAGGTGTTGATTTCCTACAAAGTATTACGTAATCTAACGTGAAGTGAAAGGATGCATGGTTTAAAATTGGTCTTTGCACAACTTAATCAGATTTGAAATAGAGCATCCTGGCACAGATTCTCATTTCTATTTAGGTCTGGATTTTGGGTAATTTTTAGCCTTGCATGTCTAAAGCATTCCAGTGTACCTGTGTATGTTTTGGTTTAAGGTATCATAAATGACTTGTGAGAAACCTCCAACATTACGTCATGTTTCTTTCCATCAGCAATGACTTTCTTGCTGTTGCTGCCTCGTAAAGTCCAGTTAGTAGAGGGCATATCAGTTTTTATAAAAATCTTCTAGAATTGAGTTTTTGATCTGTGCAACTTCTTGACTACTTTTCAGATTAATGCTCCCCTTGCCTGGCCTGTTTGTTTAGGATAGCCATGTCTTGGCAGGTTTGCAGTTTTCCTATTTTTAGATCACAGATTGAACAGCCCTCTGTGAGATCCTCACAGCTATGGACGGTTTTGTAAGCCAAATCCGCTATAAGCTTATCAGCAAGTTTATTGCTATGTTCTTTGGTCTTTATGGTGTTGTTTGTTTCCTTATGTTCTTCAACAAATTGCCTTCAAAGAATTTACTCATACAAATTGACACAGTGGTTTCTCAAGGCAATTGGTTGCACTGGATTTTCTTAAGGAACATCAGAGTAAAAGAGGCTGCAAGAGAAACGTTTCAGAGTTGTAAAATATCTTGAAAGCCATGCATCCCTCGTCAACCTTTTCACAATTACGTTGTGTCATGCCACAAAAATCCCAATAAATACATTGTGGTTTGTGGTTGTAATGTGACAAAATGTGAAAAAGTTTAAGGGGTTTGGATAGTTTGGCACTGTGCATGTACAGCAGGTCACGTGATGTGAAACGTAGGAAAGATCACCTTCCCTAAAATAGCTGTGAACAGGAATTTAACTTGTGAAATTGCAGCAGATATGAAAAGCTTGGTCTTTATTTGATTTTTTTTTTATTTTAGTTTTTGCTTATTGTTGCCATATTCTTTAGCATTTGCCACTTTTAAAAAACCCCCAGAAATAATCTGTTATCTGTAGCCAGCACTGGCCACTTTATACCATTCTGCCTTACCAAAAGAACTAAGAACACATTTAAACCTCTGTATAATCTCAAGCTCACTGAATAAGCAGGCAGAATCCAGATTTTAGATATTTAGCGCCGCTTCAAGTCTTATATTAAACATGTAGTAAAGAGGGAATATATAAGCCAATAATTGTTTGCCATAAAGCTGCTTTCTCAGAACCATTAGGCAGATTGTACGCTACATGATGATATCCTGTTCTCCTGCGACGCTAATGACTGCTCCTCTCGTCGTTTGTTGATTCTTATCAGGAAGCCAGGTTTAACGCTTCAGCTATCAGGACAAGAAGCCGCAGGTTTAATCATTACATTGCTCTCACTGTGTAACATGGTGCCTTGTAACACGTTTTAGACAAGTAGAAGACGTTTTAAATATTTAATGCTTTTCCTCAGGTAACGGCTTTCTCAAGCTTTGTTGTGTTTAAGGTGTGTAACCTTTATTAATGCTTTCAAACGGCTAGAAACAAGTTAATGTAGTATATATACGGATGGCCGTAACTGGAATCCTAAGTGTTTATTCAGCTTTTTATCAATTAAATGATAAGTAATTATAATTTTGTAAGTCAGTAGCTTAACTGACCTGGATTCCCAGCATAAATGGTACAATATTTTCTTGTCATATTCCTTTAATGTATGTTTTTCAGTATGTTGCTTCAAGCTGCTCGTTTTCCCCGTTCCTTTTTAGATCATCAGTTGTTGCAATATAAGCTATTTTTAACAGGGTTTTTTGGTAACTAAAGACGAAACGGATGTCAATCATTTGATTCAGGATTGGAGCTTCAGACGGATGCGTTCGTCTGACATCTCAAATGGATACCTAAGAATACCTCCTGTTTCATAAGAGAAATACTGTGAACAAGTGCCAACTTCATTTGTGCTTCACATATTCAGGCACACATGCAATGACATAATTGAATGACAGGATTTTTATTATACTTTTTTTTGTTGGTCTTTCAAAAAATTGTTAGTGAATTCTTGTTCCTTTTTGAAGCTGAAATAAAATATGACATTGAAATTTAAGACCAAGACCTGACCCACTCCTCTCTCTATTAATGTGTGAATTGACCCTTTTTGAAATGTTGTACATTAATGCTCTGTGCCTTTGACCCATAAAGTGGTGCTAACCTGACTTGAGCCTTCAGCTTGCTGCTTCGGCTCTGACCTCCGTGTGTTTTGTTTTTGTCCTTTGACATCTCGTCAAGAAAACATCGCTACGTATTTATAGCGGCTCCCGCTTAGCATCTGTGCCAGGCTCGTCTTTGACACTATTTCTGTCTTATGGCTCGACTGAGTGGTCTGGCTAGTTTTGCTTTTGATTCTTTGAGCTCAATGTGTGCCTTTGATGTTTAATTTTTTTTTTCCTTTTTAATATATGTGTTTGGATGGGACTAAAAATCTGCATTCATTCTAATGTGATTTTGTACTAATGTATTAAAAGAATTATGAGACCATCGCTTTTGTTTGCATTTAATCCCTTATTATTTTTCTTTTACTAGAAGTTTCACAGGTGCATCTTAAAAAAATACTAGAAAAACAATGTTAATGTATTTAAGTGATTTAACACTAAAGTTATATATTTTGGTTTTTGTTTCGATGATTTTTAGGATTATGGATAGCGGCAGAAGAAAACTTAAATTCAGAAAAGTAGATTGAATGTTTTCCTGAAAATTATGTACTGGCATACATGGTGCATTTCAACAAAGTTAAAGTATTATTTAAAAGTTAATGTATTTCTGTTATATACAGTCATACATGCTGAAACTGACTTGTGCTTTATGGTTAAATGTATTGTCTTAGTATTATCCAGCTTTCGTTGACCCAGCGTTGTCATTTTACATGGCCTACAACTTTACTTGTGCTTTGTTGTAATGAAAAGAACAAACATTTATTGCAGAGGCATTATCATATGATGGCGCCATGCTGGAGCTGACTGAGCTGACTGAGCTCCCCAAGAGCGACTTGTTCTTTTACAAACGTTTGCAGACCAAGCTGTCTGAATTAAGAATGTAGGGCATAACTGTGAAGAACATGGTCACACTTCTCTAATAAATCATCTTAAACTTGTCTAATACTTTACAAGAAACTGTATTTCGAGTTTTCCTTTGCCGCCAGACATAATTTTAAAAAAAGGAACAAAAGATGAACGCTTGAAATGCATCCACTTACCTGTAAAGACCCACTATTTGATTTGAATTACAGAAATACATTTAGTTTACAGAGATCCACCTGTAAACTTTGCAGATTGTACACACATAGTCACAAACAAAAGAAATCATCCAGGTCCAAACGCTGACCCCTGACGGACCTCATGATCGAGGCATGTTCTAAATTGTGACGCTGCTTTAAATTACCATCACATGAGCACGTAAATACAAAAACCGATCAGTGGCACATGCAGTTTAAAATCAGCCAGATGTCCTTGCGATCGCTGAGACACTAACCACCTTTAACCTCTCCTGCATCTGCAAGACATGAAAAATAATGAGCCAGTTGGTCCCACATTGAAAGAGACGCCCTTGAGGGACATCTCCAACTTTTCTTTTCTTTTTTTTTTTATACCAGACTCATCATAGGGCAATAATGACAAGGTGATGAAACAATAATGCAGGTTATTTGGAGACTTTGTTGAGATCAATAAATCATCTGGTGGTTCATGATGTGAGGCCAGAGAGCAAGTGATATCAAAGTGCATGACCAGACACCGAGAATTAAAAAAAAAAGAAAAAAAAAAGTGTGTTGGGGGGAAGGGATAATCTCAGAGGCTGTGGAAACAATATTTCTTAGTTACGTCATAAAACTTGGTTGTTCAAAAGTCGGCTCAAACAGTCTGGCATCTCCATTTCTCAAAGCTGCAGTCAATCTTTCATATGTTTGGGGAATTTATTCCATTTCGCAGCGCTGGGATATGGTTTAGAACTAGTTCACTTTATCTGCAGATGCCTCATCTGTCTTCAGAATTGATCTTGACTTGCAGCCTGTGTGGGGAGGACATACATTCATTGATTAGCTGTCCGTGTGCTGCTGGGGATCGATATTATTTGTTGGTGTGCTTTCTGCAGTCGCATTGTTTGCTTCTGTCCATCTTTTCACAGGGAGAGCAAATAATTTATGTAGGATCAAAGTTTCTGTGCGAACCGCAAACATTGCTTAAAGAGAGACAGAGAGGTTTTTCCCTTCGCTAATTAAACATCGTGACGTTCACTAATCTTTTCTAAATATCTCAGATTCAATGCAGAACATGATTAATAAGTTGTTTTTGCTGACAGTAGACGTATTTTGGGGGAATTATTAAACTTTTAAGGATTCATCGCTCCAGGTTTTTGAATTTCCAAAACTAACCAGAGATGTTAAGTTTAAAAAAAAAGTTCTGTAACAAGAACTTGCAGAGCTGCAGTTGCCCAGCAGGGTGCAGTGTAGCTTCACTCTTTAATTCCTTGGCTGACATGTCAGTGGACAGCAGCCCAGATGTTGTCCACACACACACGCACACACACAGATGCTTTCGCCAAACAGGACACATAACTGGCAGAGCCCTTCCCCTCTTCCCTCTCCACCTGTGAGCCCACCTGCATGTCCATCTGCAGAGCAGAGATGCCAGTTGTTCTGGTTAGGAGCCACTGTGTCTCAAGTACCTGTCCACATCCTCAATAAAAGACGAAGCAGGTCTGTCGTGCAGAGAAACAGGTAGTTGAAAAGTTAAACTTAACGTTGCCGAGGAAATGGCTGCTGTACCTATGCGCCTAAGGTCGAAGCGTAGCTGTGATGTAAATAAGAAATCAAAGAAAAAGCCTTTTGGGGGTCTGTTTCTGAAGTCTAGCTAAATTGATCTGGAGTTGAGCAACAACACAATCAAAAATAAGCAAATTATTTATCTAATAGTTGAACTTTACTTTTAGGCAAATCTAAGACTAGACGACACACAAAGACGAACATGCTCCAAATTTAATGGAGGGGGGAGGAGGGGAATCCAGCTTCTTCAAATTAAATGCAGACAGGGCATTTACCATGAAACACCACAGGGGAAATAAAACCTCTCTGCACCATCTTGTGTGAAGAGAGAATCTTCGTCCTTAACCCAAGATTTTCCCTCCGTAACTGGAATGACCTCGCATCTGGCGTTGCCATGGCTTGTCTGACAGGAATGCGTCTGTCCTCGGTAGGTAACAAACGAACCCAGCACTTCAGAGACTCGTCTCACAACTGTTTATCTTTTTCACCTGTCTGTTCAGCGCACTGCATCACGCTGACACTCCTGCGCAGCCTTCGTGGATTTGCAGAGCGCATGGCCCTGCCATGAGGGCGGCGTCCTCGGAGGAGAATTTTCTAACTTTTAGAGCGGGCTTTGCAGATTCCTCCGGAAATTACCTGAACTCCTGGAATATAAAAGATCTTAAAAATAAATCCTGATTTTGTTGCTGCGGCATTAGCTAACACTTTGAGAAAGAAAAATGACAGTCATCATGTATATGTTATTCAACTCATATCACAGATCTTCTCTAAGGACAGAGACGGTCATGGAAGACATTTCTGTGTTAGTTTGGCCATGAGTTTTAGGTGATGAGGTCAGTGATAACATCGATGATGACAATGCATTATTAGCTAAGTATTCACATTAGACCAATTTTTTATTTATTCTTTTAAATCTTATTTTTTAAAGAAACTTATGAACCAGGCTCGCAGCATTACACGTCCTCCACCGTACTTAACAACAGATACAAGCAAACATGCTTGGAGTGTTTGTGGTCAAAAGGCCTCGCTGCTGTATTCTCATCCGGCTAAAGCAGAAAGCTCCAGTAATAGTCTTCGTAGAAATCTATGTTTGACGTGGGATGAGAAAGAAGCCTGTTTCCTGGCATGCCTCTCAAACAACTGCTAGGTATAAATATACTGTCTAAAGCTTGTTATAAATACTTAGTGGCTCTAGGGCGTCACTCTGCTGCAGCTCTCTGAGACGGCTTCATGTTTTTGTCCCCATTTGCGGATAACGGCTTTCACTGTAGTTCACAAAGCCTTAGACTTTGTGGCCCTTTTCAGACTTTTAATGTTTGATGACTTTTTCTCCTTGGTTCTCAAATTTCCTTAGCTTTTTGAGACCTTATAACCTCGGACATTTTCTCTTTATCTCTGGAAATAATCGGGTCGGGGGTGGCAAGTAAAACTCGATCAAGCTTTCGAGAAAAAAAAAAAAAGTGATCAATCACAGTTAACTCATGATTAAAGTCGAGGCTGTTAAAGTTCATGTTGCTTTTGAAGGATTTTATTTTTCTTGATACACAAAATCAGCATCTGAAGACTGCTTTTTATTTACTTTGGGTACATTTGTCAAGCAATACAATTAGTCTGATGAGATTAAACCTTTTAACGTGACAAAAGAGCAAAAACAGAAGAAATTTGCAAGAGAAACAATATTCTTGAAAAGCACTGTTAAAACATTTCCAGCTATGAGAGAAAAAAAAATGCTCCAATTTCTTTGATTTATAAAATCATCAGTCAATTTCATACATATTACAATACAATCCTGACCATCAGTCAATGCCATAACTAAGGACCAGAAGGTGAGACTGATGTGATCTTGAGAGGCTGGTGAAGGCACACAACCATAGGGTGGTAATTCTGCTTTACTGTTGTTGGAAACAGCAGCAGTAAAGCTGTCCAAGATCTACACTTTACAGTAATGTGTTCTAGTATATTATAATGTAATGAAATCTGAGGAAACGGCAACAGAAGAGAATTCGCTCCCAGAAAGTACAAGTGCAGACTTTGTGAAGGCAGCATGCAGGATGCTCCCCATGTGATCCTTAAAAGGTAAGAGGTCGAACAAAATTTCAGCCACCTGAGAGGAGATGCATAATTGAAATGCGGCGTTGGCGCTGCGGCCCGCGCACAAGGCTGTTTGATGGATACTGTTTTAGAATACTCCTGTCCTCTCGTCCTCGTGGGGTTTTTACCTGGGGACAAACCTGGGGAGTGGGGAAGGTGCTTGGGCGGCTCATCTGGGTTTAAAGAGGGAAATTGGTGCTATCCATCAAACACTGCGTTTAACAAATGCTAACGTAGGCCTGGCCAACAAAGGATCCGGATAACTGGGAAACATGTTAGGTGCAGGGACTGCTGAGGGTCTATCAATCAGCCAGTCAGTTCCTTTATTTAACAAGCGAGGGCCACAGACCCCGAGGGCCACACTTCATATTCTGGCTGGTTGGCCATGCAGTTTTGCCTTGTAAAAAGAAGGGGGGGAAGGGGGTGGGGGAAGAGAGGGAGGAATGAGGGGTACATAAGGTGGGAGCGTGATGGAGGTGTAGGAAGGTTTGGCCTGTGTCCCCTGCTGCGCTGGCGTGCTTCATCTTCTCAGTGCAGGGGCCTGGAACTGTTGCTTGATGGGATTTTCAGCCCCGTGGCCTCCGCTGTCCCAGCATCCATCTGGAGGGCTGCCGTGTGCACAGCGGAGAGCCA